TCTCACCATATACAAAAATTAACTCAAAATGGATTAAAGATTTGAATGTTTAAGACCTGAAACCATAAAACTCCTAGAAGAAAACATAGGCAATAAACTCCTTGACATGGGTCTTGGCTATGATATTTTGAATCTGACACTGAATGGTAGAACATATTTGCAAATCATAGATCTGCTAAGGGGCTAATATCAAAACATTAAGAACTCATACAACTCAATGACAATCCCCCCCCCGACAATCCAATTAAAAAATGGGCAGAAGATCTGAGTAGACATTTTTCCGAGGAAGACCTACAGATGGCCGGTAGGTATGTTAAAAGATACTTACAAGACATCATTAATCATCAGGGAAATGCAAATCAAAATCACAGTGAGATACCAGTTCACAGGTTCAAACATATTAGAAAGGCAGTTATCAAAAAGATAAGAAATAACAAGTGTTGGTGAGGATGTGGGGAAATAGGAACCCTTGTGCACTGTTGCACACATACATGACCTGGGAAGTTAACATATAAAAAATCATGCTATTTAGCTTATCTTTCAGTTTTTGTTGTCATGTTGGGAACAATAGTCCCCTCCAACCTTCTACGTCCTAACCTGAAGTGGAACTGTTCTTTAGTTTACTTGAATATTGAAAAAAAAAAACCCTTTAAAATGAAAAAACTATCTGATAGAGGCAGAGCAGATGCATTTTATTCATCAAATTACATACCAGTTATTAGAATGTATTTCCTCAGATATGAAAAAGGGAAAAATAGTGGTAGGAAAATGGTGTAATTTTTGTGTCTCAGAAGGTCTCTGTTACTCTGCAGGTTAGAATGTGTCAACTCATACTAATTGAGATGCAATGTAATACCATTGATAGAAATCCAAGCAGAGGGTGAGTGAGCTATTCTTTTGAGCAGTTTGGTTATTGTCCCCACCTCTTGTTACACAGCCTTCCCTTGTCACGTTTCTCTTTCAGTCCATGCACCTGGAGAATCTTCATGATAGATTGTTTCATTCCCTGAAGCTTAGCGTGAAATACCCTCTGACAGAGGCATTTTCCAATTGTTAATTATCATATAAACCATCACCACAGGACACTGTACCATCACCATCCATCACGCATCTTGACCAGTCTTTCTTGTGTTTAAAAATTAGTACAGGCGCCTGGGTGGCTCAGTCGGTTAAGCATCCAACTCTTGACTCTTGATTTCAGCTCAGGTCATGCATGATCTCAGGGTCCTGAGATCGAGCCCCGCTGTGAGCTCTGTGCTGAGGCAGGGCGTCTGTTTCAGGATTCTCTCTCTCTCCCTCTCCCCATGCTTGCTCACTCTCTTTCTCTCTAAAACAAACAAATCTTTAAAAAAATAGTGATATTGAAAAAAAAGGGTAATTACTTTAAAAACTTTGGAACAATTTCTAGTTTGGACGTGTCTGCTATATTGACTCCTAGGCAAGTTATTTGCAACTCTGGTGTCTTCTATACATGTTTGGCCCTTTTCTTCTCAATTTTCAGAAAGTGGTGAAAACTGATGAAATATTTTGTAAAGGACTTTGTTTTCCTCTTTGATGCTATGTGCTGTCTTTGAAAAGTAGTAACAACAAAGTTTCCCCAAAGATTACCATTTGGAGAATCTACTGTTTCTTAAATCTATACAATAAGGAAAATAGAGTTGAAATCTCTTTTTGTAGGTTGGCATATATTTGGCAGATAAATAACTTCATTACATTTTTCCCCCTAAATGCCTAGGTTTATCTTTATTATGGGCAGTCACAAAAACTTGATGTATTTTTTTAAAAAGGTGATTTAATACTGACTTTTAAAATTGTATAATGAGTGTTTACAAGAGGCCAGCGGTCACTAGATTTTTGGGATGGTGCTCATTTAACAGCATCGATTTCTCAGGTCCTCAGACTGAGTTTGATTTTCTTGGCCTAGATTTTGAGAGGTTTCAAGAGGTGATGAGTGCTGAGATTTGAGGCGGGTGGATTCCCTGAAGCATTCAGCCTAACAGCCCCAGGGAGTGGCATTGCCTCTTGGTTAATTAGTTCATGGAGCCTCCCTTTGGGCTAGTTTGGCAGGATTATCCCTATTTTTGCAGATTAAGAAAATGGGGTGTGAGGCATTGAATTGGTTCTCATCGAAAGTGTTGGCGGTCAGTCCTGGAGCTCAGAATTGTAGACCTGTAGTCTGTTACTCCATTTGTAGACTTTGGCATTATTATTTCAAAGATGTATTTTCAAAGCAACAATTTTGCTTTCACTGAGCTCATTTTTATAACAAACAGATTCATATTTTTTGAGTCATGTAGGTTTTAACTTGAATTTGACCCAGCTGTGCTTATTGTCCTAGTAAATGTCATGTGGAATTGGTGAACTTGAGTTAAATCACGTATAGACTTACTAGGTTCACATGAAGCATTATGGGCTTTGAAAAGTGTTTATTATGGCCATCTGTGACATATACACAATCTAAAGAAGATAGGAGAGACACAGGGGTATTTTGGAAAGCACCTGTGATTTGCATCTGAAGACCAGCCCTAGAGTCCTGACTCACCTCATTCTAACAGAGTCAACATGATTATGCCACTTTGCCATCTTTGGCTTTAGAACTAGTTTCAAGAAAAATGTGAGCCAAATATTTATTCAGTTCTCTCTCTACCTACCTACCTACCCACCTGCTCACCTGTCTAATTTCCACTCAGGGAATGACTCTTCTCTCTGATTAATTAGGCTTACCTACTTCTCGGGTACCCAGATAAACTGGGTTTTCCGAGACAAGTGTTGAACCCAGTGAAGAATCTAGGCAAGAGATCAGCTGTAAGCATGTCCTCCCTTTATTTCGTGGTGGTTCCCAACTGACCAAACCAATCAGGAGGATTATTAGTGTGCTGGGTCCAAAATGAAAGTTTGCATTTTGAATTAATACTTTTTCACTTGATTTGGTCCCATAGTCCTAGATTCCACAACTAACATTGGCCAGCTATTGATCAGTCACCAGTGAAAGCCATTCCTGGTACCCAGGGTCTGAGTGGGAGTACCTCACGTCCCATCCCTGGGTGTCCATCCCTCCCTAACTAGGTGTGTTGTTGATACTTAACATTATACTCATATTTCAAATACTATTTATTTTTAAATAAAGGCAATATTATTTATTTTTAAATAAAAGATAATATTATTTATTTTTTTAAAAAAAGGCAAAGGAAATTGTATGGGCCAATAAGAAAATTTATAAATTTTAGAGACATATTTTAATTGATTATTATGTTTTCCATTATCAAAAGCCATAATTCTCTACATTAGCACCACACGACCAATCCCTCATGCCTGAAAAGGGTTCTGGAAAAATTTCTCTTATGTGCAGTTGATTTGGCTTATTTTTGTGTGTGCAATTGAAGTTATTATTTGAAATGCCAATTAAATGCACTGTAAATTAAAAATAGTACTTTTTCCAAAAAGTTTCAATTGTGTACAATGGTCTTACTTTTTTTTTCCGATTCAGATATATTGGATTATTTTTTTCAGATTCTATTATTAGTATATCCGAAAACAGCCTTGTTAATTTAATTATAATGACTCAAAGAAATATATATTTAAGGTTAATCTTCAGTTCACCTGGTTAATCATGAACATTTGGGGAAAATTTTTGCCATGGTGAATGAGGAAAATAATTACTATTCAAAACAAGTGGTTTGATTTAATTCCAGTAACAACTTATATACTCAGAATTATATGATTATTTTTTAAGGCGTGTTATTTATGAATTTCTGTGTGTTATGTTTATAGATATGTATGCTCTAAATAAAAATAGCACATTTTAGCCAATTCAACAAGAATTTTGAAGTTATTTGTTTATATGACATGTTCACCTTCACCTTTAATTCAAGAATCCAACAAGGAAGGTCTTAAATAATCAAGGTCAAGAGGCAAGACATTAGAACGAAATTACTAGAGTATGAAGTATGTGCTCAGTACCTTACTAGGGAATATTGATGGTAACACCAAAGGGACATAGTAGGGACAAGCAATTGAAAATCAGATAAATAAAATATGTCATGTGTCAGATGATGGTAAGTGCTCTGGGAAAAACCAGCAGGGAAGGACACTGGCAGCAGATGATTAATGGATCCAGCAGAGGTAGCTGGAGACAAAACCAAGGTGGGGGTTAGCTTTAAAAAGGGCTAAGGTTCCACCGGAGACTGGCAGAGCAGAGAAAAATGGTGAAGAGGAAGATGAGGTGGGTTGTGGAGGGAAGGGAGCTCCAGGGGCTTCATGCCCGTTGGCCCGAATTTCCTTAAGTTCAGAAGGAAATGATCTGCTGAGAGTGAGTGTGTCTGCAGTGGAATTTTAGAGTTCAGCATGAGGGGTAGGGATTCAGGAAAAAACCCTATGTAGTTGACTAGGGAGGAGAGGGCTGCTGGAAGCCCAAACCTGGCCTCAGGCGGAGGGGGCCCTGGGGGGCCTTGTGCTTCTTGCGGTGTGTAGCCTGGCAGCAAAGGCTAGAGAAAGTGGGCTGATGGAGAGGGGAGAAGTGGAATCCGTGGGGAAAATGGGATGGGGTCACGTGGCTTGGGGGGTGGGGCTGTATGGGGTCGTGTGCGGGGGTGGGGTGGGGAGAGAGGGCTAGATTCAGCCCCAGAGAGGAGTATGCCTGGCTGGAGGGGGAGCCCTTCAGAGTTCCAGATTTTATAAGATTACTTTGTTTCTGTGTTGCAGAAAGCAGTGTTTAAAATGTTGCCTTAAAATTCTCAGGATAGGCCCAATTGTGGGCAGAGATCACAAGGAGTAAGCCAGGGTTTAAGGGAAATTTTTCTTGAGAGCTTTGTTAAGGGCATACGATAGTGCTAGAAAGTGAGCCTGGAATGTTTATGTAATTGGGGAAAAGAGCGCAAGTTTTTAACAAAGGCACAACAGGTCTCAGCCCGTTTCTGAAAACCTGTAGTTTTAACTCCTAGAAAAAAGACAAGAAAACCTAACAGACATTCAGTTATGTGCATTTCTTTGCTTTTTTAAAGGTGAAGCCGGTAATGCACAGCAGAATCAACGTGTCTGCTCGCTTTAGAAAACCCCTTCAGGAGCCCTGCACCATCTTGTAAGTTGAAGACTTTTACCTTGAGGTTGGAAGGTTGCTTTCCTTGTGGTTTGGAATTTGTTTTGTAGCTTTAAAAGTATAACTGTTTCAAATGGCGTGGCTGGCTGGTTTTGCTTTTTTTTTTTTTTCCAGCTTGATTGCAAATGGAGACCTCGTAAGTCCGGTTTCTCGCCTCCTCATCCCCAGAAAAACCTTGAATCAGTGGGATCATGTGCTACAAATGGTCACAGAAAAAGTAACTCTGAGGAGTGGGGCTGTCCACAGGTACGCCCGAGTCATCTTCTCTGGGTGAATGGGTTTCAGAAGTGTGCAGAAGAATCCCAGGACGCTCCAGAGTCACTGGTCCCCAGTCTGGCTCCAGAGCCTGTGCTCTTAACTACTAAAGCTATTCTCGAGAAAAATCCCATAAATTTATCTTTCATTATATATGAACTATCTGTATTGCCTTTGCATATTTATCTTATTGATTTATAGATACTCTTTACATATGAGGGCATCTGGCCCTTTCTCCTATGAGTTTTAAATATTTTCCCGTTTGTATTTTTGATTCTCTTTATGTTTTGTGTGTGTGTGTGTGTGTGTGTGTACAGTTAAGTTGAATTTTGGTACAGTCAAATTTTTAGTCTTTTCTTATGATCATTAAGTTTTTTGACTAGCTTAGCTTTTCCTCATTCCAAGATTATAAAAATATTCTGCAGTGTTTTCATCTTGTACTTTTCATTTAAACCTTTGATCCTTCTGGATTTATTTTGGTGTCAGGAGTGAAGGCAGATCTTAAAAGTTCTTTTTTTTAGATATACAGTTGTGTCTTTTGACATATACAGAAATGTAAACCCACTCGATAAATAATATAAAGCACCCAGAGATATATACACACAGTTGCATGCCCAGATACACCTGTTCATACATATACTGATCTGAACAAATTCACACATGGAAATAAAATATATGCAAGTATAAATACAGAAATGAAAATATATGTTCCCCCACTGCAATATTTGAATACTTGGAGGAACTTAATTCTCAGTGTAATGCCAGATATGAGTGAGATTTGGTTGCTGGTCACTTGGGACATGCCCATTTTCCTTTAACAGAACATTAAAAAGTCTTATGGCTGGACCCTCCCTGTGCCTCAGTATACTTACATATCAGAAACATCCCATTAAAACCAGTTCAACTCCCCGTTTATGTTTCTTGCCCTTTGCAAAAAAAGGAAGAAAGCAGGTCAAAGTCCTATAAAAGAAGCCTAAAATCGTGGGTTAGAATTTATTCCATATGCTTAACTACCTGCAGAGGAAACCAGTCAAATCTTGGCTATTTCCAGATCCATAGTGATTTGTCTTTTAATTTCAAGCCATAAAAGTTAGCTACTGACTCCGATCTTCCTGTTTTGAAGGAAAATGAATATCTGGGTCCAGGCCAGTGGTTCTCAGCTTGGGACGATTTTGCCCCTAGGGGACATTTGGCAGCATCGGGTCATTTTTGGTAGTCACACTGGGGATGGGGCAGCTACTACTACCATCTAGTGGGTAGAGGCCAAAGGTGCTATTAGGAGCACCTACCGTTAGTTCACAGGCAGACCGCCCCCCCAACGAAGAATTATCAGATCCAAAATGCCAATAGAACCATTGTTCAGAAACCCTGGTCTAGGTTAAGGAGGGAAAACCAGAAAATCTGGGTTAAGTGTTGAGAATTAGAGTTGTAAGGATTGAATTACAGTGTTATAAAGAGGGAGCATCTTTATATTAAATCAACCCAAACACATTTCAGGGTTTTTGTGGCGGTTTTCTATGTATTTCTTGGCTCCTTTTGATATGGCCATTTACATCATCAGTGAAGAAGCAGACAGATCAATGCCTTTGTCTTTTTTTTTTTCTTTGCAAATGTCACTAACCTTTATTAGGTAAGATAAGAAGTCTGAGAATTTTTTTTTCTAAATGCTTTTTTTCTAAATTTGTTCCAGTCATGAACTCTGGTTTATAACCTTCAAAAATAGGCATAGCCTTTTTCATGGTGTTTTCTAATAATCAGCTATTTCTTGTTCTTTAGAAAAAGAATTCTGGGGACACTTTAAGTTGTCTAGTATAAAGTTATCGCTGTTCTTTTAATAAGTAACATATTCATTGTTGTCTGCGGCAGCAGTTTTACAGTAAAGGGAGGTCCTTGTGAAATCCCTTGATTCTGGGAAGATGAAGGGAGGCAAAAAAGAAAAAAAAAAAAGAAGAGGCATGAATGCTATGCAGTTCTGCATCATTAATCCTCTCCATGGGTTCCTTTGCCTCTTGTTTTCAGACTCTGTTCTGTGTGTGTTTGGATGTACTGTTTTGGCTGAGGGCTCTTGCACAGAATGCAGTAAGTCTGTCAACCTGACAAATACATTAAGAAAATAAATTGTAAACGTGCTCACAAAATAGAAATAGAAGGACCGATCTTCAGCGGGAGCTGAGTCCATTTAAAGTACCACGTTTGGGCGCCCGGGTGGCTCAGTTGTTGAGCCGTCTGCCTTTGGTTCAGGTCATGATCCCGGGGTCCTGGGATCGAGCCCCGTATTGGGCTCCCTGCTCTGAGGAGAGCCTGCTTCTCCCTCTGCTCCTCCCCACCCACCCTCTGTCTCTCATGAATAAATAAAGAAAATCTTAAAAAAATAAAATAAAGCACCACATTCTTTTTTTTAAAAATTTTTATTATGTTAATCACCATATATTACATCATTAGTTTTTGATGTAGTGTTCCATGATTCATTGTTTGTGCATAACACCCAGTGCTCCATGCAGAATGTGCCCTCTTTAATACCCATCACCAGGCTAACCCACCCCCCTCCCCTCTAGAACCCTCAGTTTGTTTTTCAGAGTCCATCGTCTCTCATGGTTCGTCTCCCCCTCTGACTTACTCCCCTTCATTCTTCCCCTCCTGCTATCTTCTTCTTTTACTTTTTTCTTAACATATGTTGCGTTATTTGTTTCAGAAGTACAGATCTGTGATTTAACAGTCTTGCACAATTCACAGCGCTCACCATAGCACATACCCTCCCCAATGTCTATCACCCAGCCACCCCATCCCTCCCACCCACTACCACTCCAGCAACCCTCAGTTGGTTTCCTGAGATTAAGAATTCCTCATATCAGTGAGGTCATATGATACATGTCTTTCTCTGATTGACTTATTTCATTCAGCATAACACCCTCCAGTTCCATCCACGTCGTGGCAAATGGCAAGATCTCATTCCTTTTGATGGCTGCATAATATTCCATTGTGTATATATACCACAACTTCTTTATCCATTCATCTGTTGAGGGACATCTTGGCTCTTTCCACAGTTTGGCTATTGTGGACATTGCTGCTATAAACATTGGGGTGCACGTACCCCTTCGGATCCCTACATTTGAATCTTCGGGGTAAATACCCAGTAGTGCAATTGCTGGATCGTAGGGTAGCTCTATTTTCAACTGTTTGAGGAACCTCCATACTGTTTTCCAGAGTAGTTGCACCAGCTTGCATTCCCACCAACAGTGTAGGAGGGTTCCCCTTTCTCCGCATCCTCGCCAACATCTGTCGTTTCCTGACTTGTTAATTCTAGCCATTCTGACTGGTGTGAGGTGGTATCTCATTGAGGTTTTGATTTGGATTTCCCTGATGCCCAGCGATGTTGAGCACTTTTTCATGTGTCTGTTGGCCATTTGGATGTCTTCTTTGGAAAAATGTTCATGTCTGCTGCCCATTTCTTGATTGGATTATTTGTTCTTTGGGTGTTGAGTTTGATAAGTTCTTTATAGATTTTGGATACTAGCCCTTTATCTGATATGTCATTTGCAAATATTTTCTCCCATTCTGTCGGTTGTCTTTTGGTTTTGTGGACTGTTTCTTTTGCTGTGCAAAAGCTTTTTATCTTGATGAAATCCCAATAGTTCATTTTTGCCCTTGCTTCCCTTGCCTTTGGTGATGTTTCTAGGAAGAAGTTGCTGTGGCTGAGGTCGAAGAGGTTGCTGCCTGTGTTCTCCTTTAGGATTTGGATGGACTCCTGTCTCACGTTTAGGTCTTTCAACCATTTGGAGTCTATTTTTGTGTGTGGTGTAAGGAAATGGTCCAGTTTCATTCTTCTGCATGTGGCTGTTCAATTTTCCCAACACCATTTGTTGAAGAGACTGTCTTTTTGCCATTGGACATTCTTTCCTGCTTTGTCAAAGATGAGTTGACCATAGAGTTGAGGGTCCATTTCTGGGCTCTCGATTCTGTTCCATTGATCAATGTGTCTGTTTTTGTGCCAGTACCATACTGTCTTGATGATGACAGCTTTGTAATAGAGCTGGAAGTCCGGAATCGTGATGCCGCCAGTAAAACACCACATTCTGTACGAGTCAGGGCTTTCCGTCTGAAATCTTACTGTGGCAGCAGGAGACGATCCTTCTGTTGGGTTGGTAGGTTGATTGGGATGAAGTACTTGTACACAGAGAGAGGGTAACTGTCTCTACATTGTAACACTGGCATTTAGTAGAATCTAATGACTTTGAGGCATTTCGAATTCAATAATTAGCACAGTAACAAATGAGCCAACTTAAGAGAGGAATGCTTCTATTGAACTTTGTAATTTTAAGTAGCTCTTCCATGCTTGTTTAAATTTTAATTGTGGGCATTCATGTTTTGGCAGACTTTACACGTTAGAAGGAAAACTTGTTGAGAGCGGGGCCGAGTTGGAGAATGGGCGGTTTTATGTGGCTGTCGGCAGAGATAAGTTTAAGAAATTGCCTTACGGTGAATTACTTTTTGACAAGTCCACCATGAGAAGGTCCTATGGGTAAGTGTTCATCCTCATTCACATCTCCTATTTTCGTTACCACTTGAAATAACATTGTCTTATGCTGACCACCGGTATATCTTATATAATCTTGCTCATCAGTTAGAATGGAAAGCACGTTTGATATATATTGATTTGATTTATTTATTTATTTTTGCCATGATTGGAGATTGGAGATTTTTTTCTTTGCACAAAAATATAATTTGGGGGGACTCTATGAAAGGTTATATAGCATTTCTTTTAACCATTCACTTACAAATTCACAGTAAATATAAAGATTTATTTTGGTGAAGAAGATACAGGGCCAAGGGCTTCTATACAGCATACATCATTCGAAGTTTTAATAATGTCTCCGCTGGTTAGCTAGACCAAATAGTTTTCAGTTGGTGCATATACGAACATCTACAAGTGTTAAAAAACATAATATTTTATACTCCTTTTAATAATAACGAGATAAATATACAATATATAAACAATATAAATCTCCTTGTGCAAGTAAGTAGAGCAGCAAGAAAGACTATAATTATTATATGCAAAATTTTGAAGATTGCACTTTTAATTACACACAGTGCACTGTGACCCTTTTTCTTTAGGAAATGTCATGCATTTGTGAAAAGTGCCTTATTTCCGCTGAGCAGAGGGCTGGCCCCCGGCAGATGCAGGCACCCCCTGGCTTGCTCATGGTGGGGTTTTTTTTTTTTTTTTTTTTTTTTTTTTTACCCCCTGTGCTGCTTTTCCCACACGTTCTGTGGCCACTTAGCTCTCAGAACCTGACTTTTCGTGGCTGTCCTCTGCTGGGGTGTGGGTTACTTGCACAGAGATAGCAGAAGGTCACCAATTTGTTCTCCATTAATTTGCAGTTTATGAAGCCTGATGGAGAGGCTGGCCGAGGGTTTCCAAATAAGTAAGGGATGAAATGGACTTTTGGGGTGGTGTTTGGAGTGGGCAGGAGCACACGGTTTTCCAGCACTTTAGAATTACTTTCCAGCAGACTTACTGACGACTGTCCTTAGCCATCCATAACGTCAAATCCTTCACGATCTCTGCTGAGCAACACTGGATTCACCTGCTGTGGGCTACAGTGTGTTCTCAAGGGCAATGAGAAGTCTGTAGCTCTTGGTGGCCTCTCTCTGACAAATTAGTTAGCCACACCTTCATCTGTGTGTGGTCTTATTTTCAGAGGGGTCAGTGGGTTCCAAGATAGGTCTCTTCCTACCATCTGTGGAACAACATTCCTACAGCCAAAGAGAACTTTTATTTTTTTATTGAGAATGACCGGTCTAGAAGCTCACTGAATGTAAACGCCGGTGTTTTGCCTTTCTGAGCTTCTGACATAGACACTGCAGATGTTATGAAAACAATGGACATTTATTGTTTTTGACTCAGTCTGGCAAAACCATCGCTGAGATTAGGAAGTGACATTTTGAAATGCATCCAGAAAGTTTGGGGATTTGAATAAAAATGCTGCAAAAAAAATTTAAGATGGTACTAAAAGTTTATAGGGAGCGTCAGTGAAAATTGTTTAATGTTAAACATTAAAGATCTTTGGGACTGGATTTTAATGATTTTATGGTGGTCTTTGTGAAATCGGGAAAGTATGTGGTACTTTTTGTGAAACACCTGTGTCCCTTAAGCAGATGACTTGCAGGTTGGATTGACAAGTTAGGATGACAATTATCTTGCATTATGTATTATTTGTCAATAACATTCAGATTTCTAAATTGCGATTTGTTTCCACAGTCAGAAAGCTTCTTCACTACCTCCTATTGTAGGATCCAGAAAGTCTAAAGGGAGTGTAAGTATCAGATGCTTTACTCATTAAATATTCTCTATTTCTATATGATACAGAGAGACTGTCCTTTGGGTTTCAATTAAATTTGAAGAGATAAAACTTAGCTGCCTTGTGGTAGATGAGCAACTATGTGAAACAACGCTAGAACATTAACGTTATGGTTAAGGTCTTCGAAGTGAACTAACGCTTTTAAAATAGAGGTTCCAAAGTAGGTGTCTTTTTCCTTGCATATACACAGTTGAAATCTGGGCAATGACGCATAAAAGTAGAGGAAAGTTTGGATTAGGTCACATTCGTGGTCTGCTCAGTCTGGTTTTGTATCTCTGACAAAGACTAAAAAAAGGATGTTTTTGTAAAAAAAAAAAAAGGCAATCATCAAGTTATCTTCCTTTCAAAGACTGAGAATCACTCTACGTCATTCCCTATCAGAATTTTTTCCATCTGTGATTGGTCCATGCATTTGTTAACTCAGCGAATGTCCATTCCGTACCTCTCCTGGGGGAACTCTGGCAGGCGTTTAGTAGGTGACTTCATAACCTGTTTGTATTTTTGGTCCATACCCCTTCTCAGGGAGTGGTGTGATGCCAGGCTTGGAGGGCCACTTTGACAGGTTTTTCTGGCTGAGGCTTCTCTCTCTCTGCCCTTTTGACTGAGCTGCCTGCCCAGCAGTGATCAGAATTGGTTTGGCATTTCCCCCTAGTCTGCACGCTGCCCCCTGATTTAACTAAGCAGACTTCTTCCATTGGTATTTCGTGACATAAGCAACTGCTGGGTGATGATATGTCTCCTGATGATGCTTTAGTCCACACCCCCCGCCCCAACCTTTTTGTAGATCATGCAAAATTCTTTGGGAAAAAAAAAAAGAGAAATCATTTTGTGTGATGTAGTGCTGACCTCAGCATAACAAACAACAGACATTTATCACCCATTCATTAGCTGAGGCTCTTGCCCTGTTTATGACCAAGCTTTGGCCCTCAGGAAACGTACAATCCAGTTGAAGTGGAGAACAGAGCCTGAAAAGGTAACTGACGAGCTAACGCTGACCAGCGAGTTTGCGGTGAGATCGGTAAACGCGAGACAGAGGAAGTCAAAGGTGTGTTCGCCAAAGTACACGAAGGAAGTTGAATGTGAGCCATGCCTTTGAGGGTTGTTTGCGACGGGTGAAGGTTGAGGAGGGGAAGGGGTTTCAGATGGAAAGGATGGTGTGAGAAAGGAGCGAAGATGTGCTCTCCGAGGGGCAATCACGGCATCTGCACTTAAACATGGAAGGGGAATTCTGCACAGACAGTAGGAGCACATTCAAAGGCTCCCATTGAGTCCACAGGCCCTGTCTGGAGGGAGCTCATGCTCATGACCCTGGGGGACGGGGAGTCCCTCGGGTTGACTGGAGCAGGGGAAGCTTCGTGTGTGCAGGCTGGTTCGCCTGGAGTGGTAGGTGGTAGCAGTTTCAGATGGCCTTGAATGTCAGACCCAAGAGTCTAGTCCTTATCCTGGAGTAGAGGGCAGCTCACGAAGGCTTCCGAGAAGTGGGAATGTGAACCCAAGTCTGTTCTAGGAAGGTCAGATCTTTAACGTATTGAGAGGCCACAGATGAGGGACGTCTGTTGCGTGGCCATTGCAAGCGGGAGCCTTGGCATCAGGTGTAAAGAGCTAGGCTAGGAAGGTGCCTATTGCTCTTGAAGAGATGGAAGACTTCCTTGGTGATGGGACACGGGGGGTTAATGGAGAGGTTGGAGCCAGAGATAACTGCAGGTTCTTGAGCGTGGATCACCCAGGAAATAGTGCGACCCTGGCCAGGAAGAGGGCAGTCGGAGGAAATAATGACCTGCCTGATTTCAAACATACTGAGTTGGAGGTGTCATCGCGGAATCTAGTTGAAAGTGTTCAGCAAGCAGCTGTAACTGGTGGAGACCGAGGCCTGACGAGGACCCGGGGCGCAGATGGCAAGTTCATCCGCATAGCAGTCATAGCTGGAGAGTAGACCCATCACTCTGCTGTTCCTTCCTGGCACCCAGCCCGGCGCGGGGCAGCCCTCCTCCTGCTGTCGAGTGCGATCCTGGAGAGAGTGCACACAGACTGCCGAGGACCCAGCCCCAAGCAAGGCAGGCAGCACTGGTCTGCAGAGGAGGAGAGAGGAGGAGAGAGAATGTTCCAGTGGCTCAAAGATAGATACCGCTACCAAAGCTGAATAGAACCCGCGAATGTAGGGTTTGGACATTTTGTCCTCTTGCTCTTCTTCAGGACTTTGGGGGCAGAATCTCCTTGTCTACCCCAGGCATGAGTGGGCTCATCGATTCCCATGATGCCGCTGCAAGGGTGGTGGTCGAACAGAGAGACCCAGTGGACTTCGTAAGTGCCCCTAGGTCAGCCGGGAAAGTTGGTGTCAGAACCAAGACCATAACTCAACTCTTTGCATTCACGGTTACCAGACTTTGGAATTACGGGCTTATTATTCTGAAGTTTGGAATGGTCTACATTTTTTTTTATTAAAAATGCACAATTTGTTTCCTGCTTTAAAATTCATGTGCAAGAGGCACATCCATATCGCTTGCTTGTTTGGAAGTTATTTAGAATCTGTGCAGTGAATGCTGCTTCCTCTAATGGTAAATGGACTTTCCTGTGTATCTGGCACGGAGCAGAGCCCCAGGGAAATGGAGATGAGCAAAAAAGACATGGTGCTCTGAGCTCAAGGTACACTTGGGGGAGAACAAGGTTAAACTAACAATTCCAGAAATCAATATATAATTACAAGGTGCGGTAGGAATGAAAGAAAGGTACAGAGCAATATGAGACAATGGAAGGAGAACCTATTTAGGTAGGTGGGTCAGGACAGGTCGTCCCTGGGGAAGTGACCTTGGAGGAAAGACTCAACATCATGACATGTTTCCATCTCCTAGAAAGCAAAGACTCAAAATTACATGTCCATGCTCCGACTTAGAAGAATAAAATGACGGCAGAGTTTGCCTCTTTCCACAACACTCCAAAAACATTCTGTCTATTCATCCATCTGTCCATCTGCTCGTTCAGTTAGCCATTCGACACATACTTATGGAGCTGTTACTAATGTGCCAGGAGCCCCTCTAAAGGACCAGCTCACAGTGGCCCACAGATCAGGTTTCAGACCTCATGGAACTTTCCTTTTAGTGCTTGTGAGTGTGTGTGGAGCAGCAGGGGTGGGGGTGAAGTGGGAGAATGGGGGTGGATAGACTATCAACCTCCAAACAAATGTACACATAATTTCACATGGTGCTAAGCACTAGGAGGAAAATAAAATGTAGCAAGGCACGAATTGATAGAAAATTCTCAGAGACCTTAATGACCTAAAGAAGCCAGTCCTGCAAGGCGGGGCAGGACCGGAAAGAGCATCTATGGCAGAGGCAAGGGTCACAAAGGCCCTTGGTGAGGAGCCTGGCATCTTGGCATGTGAGGAGGGCAGGAAGAAGGCCAGAGTGGTCTGAGATGAGATTGGAGAGGCACGTAGGGCCAGGTCTGTAGACACCGTGCTAGGAGTTTGGATTTTATTCCTTGATGGGGGACACCATCTGAGGGTTAGAAGACGAGAAGAAGAGAGGGATATTGTTGGTCTTACATTTCTGAGGGATCACTCCGGCTGTGGTGTCTACAGAGAAGCGGGTCAGGGGGGAGAACCGAAGCAGGAGGTGGTGGGGCGCTGGACCCAGGCACGCGACGCAGGTGACCTGGGCGCCTATGACGAGTCCTCCTCGAGTATCTTGTAACTGTTGTCTCTGAGTGGTGGGTTCAACCAGTAGGCATTTACTGAGTGCATGTTACGTCCTGGGCACTGTCGTAGAGCTTATGGGAAGAGGGAGGCAGTGAATCTAGAGAAAGCCCTGAGCACATGGAGCGTGCATTCTGGGGGGAGGAGAAAGACAAATACACAGCACACTTGGTGTTAATCGGGGATAAGCTTGAAGAAGAACACATCAAGGTATGGGAAGAGGAAGTGAGAGGGGGCTGTATCATCTGGGTGGTCAGGGCAGCCCTCTTTCAGGATGTTATATTCGAGCAGAGGGGCAGAACCCGCCTGGCACACGGCAGGGGCTCCATACCCCTGTGCAGTGGGTGTGTGAATGCCCGGCAGTGAGGCGCACGGAGGGACCATGTCCGTCGGCAATTCCAAGGTCACAGCCTTGGTTTTTTAACTGAAGGATTATTTTACTCCTGTCCTCTAATTAATTGGGTCCCTGGAGAATGTACATGTTTTTAAAGATTGTTAACTGCTTGGCACCGAGTGGGGGTGTGCGTGAGGGGGCTGGGCGAGACCTAGCTCGGGACTGAAGGGACCACCCCCGAGTCAGCAGGAAAGGCAGCCCTAAACTGGTGATACAAGTCAAAGGGGATGCAGAGCCGGGTTTTTAGGAATTCGTTTCTCGCAGGGCTTTCTAGGAATCACTCTGGTGCATGAGGAAGGGGAGTGTGGGTGGGGGCCTGATAGAACTTAGTGGGGAAAAAAGGAGAAGCTGCAGGAATCTGCACAGGGGCCCCTGCTGGTGGGTCAGCAGCACCCACCCTTGTGGTAGGGAGTGCGGGTGATGAGGGGGCTTCTGGGCTCAGGCAGACCCTTCCAGTGCTAGCAGCTAAGGAACGAGACCACAGAGCCATTCCCTACACAGACTCCTAGCGCTGGGGGATCACAGACATGAGCAAACTGAGAGTAATTTAACCTGCGGTTCTGGCCTTGAAAACAAAAGGAAGATAGAAGGGAATCATGTTAAATTCTATTAAGTGAGAAGAACCACCCCCTGATCGGGAGACTTCCCCGGGGCACACCACGCAGGATCAAGGCGGCCCCTAGTGGAAGACGTGTAAACTCGGAGATAGTTGAAAGGTAAAGCCTGGGTTCTTGTTCTTATTACCACGTGGCCGATAGAGCCTGTGATCAGTTTACAGACTCAAATCTCGTCATTGCTAACGTTCTGGTGAACAACAACAACAACAAAACCAACACGATTATCCATGTAACACAAGGTCACTGTGAAGCAAGATAAATTCCAGATGCTCCCAAAGCTCCATTTTGCCTTTTGGGAAACCGAGTCTGGTATGGATAAAGGGGCTTTTTGCACACTTGCCATCACCAGATACATCAGTGAGAGAAATTCCAGCCTGAGTTTGGGTCCAGCCTCCTGGTCAGGAGCCTTCCTCCTGGGCACATCTCCGAAACACGCCGAGGCGGAGGCAAGGCCCTCCCAACATTATCTTAAACTCGATGTTTTCCAGCCTTGGGGCCTTTGGCACGTGTCTATGGGGGCTGGGGCTGCATTTCCTGTTGTAAAGAAAGACACCTGAGTTGAGTGGCTCCTGTTGGAAAGAGCCTAGGGAGCTATTAAAAAACCCCGAGTTTTAATAAAGTCGGGGAGCTCGAAGGGCTCCTTTCAGAGCTGTCAGATGCACTGCTGTGTGGCGGGCGGGAGGCAGGGCAGTGGTCCAGGTCCCGGGCATCCGGTTCCCGCGTGGGACATGCTGCAAAATCAGGCCCCCGCTTCGTTGTCTTCCCTTCGGTGTGTAGCCACAGTTTGTCACTTCCTGGTGGCCTTCTCGGGGAATCATGCCATATAATAAATATTTGCAGTGCCGTGGCATCAGGAAGCTTCCGTGTAGCAGAAAAATCAGACCTGGGGAACCTTGAGAAAGTTAATCCCCTATATCTGCAAAATGGTGATGATAATACCATATTTGTGTTAAATGGGTATTTAGCACGTAAGAAGTACTCGTTAATACTGTTTTATGAACGGGCAGAGCTGTTCGAGAATGGCAAAACTCCCTTACTTCCTATGCCCCCCAGATAGCCACAACTCTCCATTTATGCATCCAGGTTATAAGTCACATGTGGAAGTCTCAAAAAAGGAAGGAAAAATCCCCCTCTCCATTCCTTTGTCTCCCTCCGACCTCTCTAATTTATTTGTAGATCACCTATAATTTATATAATTAACTATGTGAATAAATATGAATATATATATTGTATATTTAGTATATATTTAATATAATATACATTTAATACATATAAATTTAAATTTAATGTATTTATATAGTTACATTTAATACATTTTATATATTTATATTTAATATATTTTAAATTTATATTTGATATAAATATATATTATATATTAAATATAAATTTATATACTATGAATATAACTATATTTATATTATATAGTTTATATTTTTGTGCATTATTATGTATTTATATTGTTAGCACTTTAGATGAATCAACATTTTTTTCTTTGTTAAAAAAAGACAGGCATTTAAAGTGTTTCCAGGCTTCTAGTTACAAAACAAATTCTTCCCTTTGTTTTAGTTTAATGTAGTCCTCACAAAGCGCCCAGCGATCAGTCATGATTCAATAATTGCATGCGTGGGGGTCCGTTACCAAAGCTATGCTATGTAGCGTTATTGGAATCCACCAGGCTTTCTCGATGCTCCAAAATAAACCCTTTGGAGCGTCCTTATCGGAAATGGAGCAAATCAGAACTTCCTGTAGAGTCAACAAGAGAGTTGACTTTTAAAGTTGCATGAATCCCGGGCACAATTCTGCTTCTCCCTGGTCACACGCCGTTTGCTGAAAATGCCTTTTCCCAGAGAGCTGCGAGGGACCATCCTGCCCAGATCCAGAGGTTCTCACTCACTAAGCTTCGTATGAGTTCTTGGAAGTTCCACAGCATCTCTGAACCTTCCAGTAGGCTTGCTGGAAGGGTGACTCTGCTCATCCCAGGCGTTTGAAGTTACAAAATTGTGGGACGAACAGATGCTATGGAAAACAGGCCGAAACATGAGACCTGGCGGATGGGTGTGGAATCCCCACTATAATTGCGTGATCTGTTTCTTCTGCCAGGCAGTCCACGGGCCTTGTGAGAAAGAATCACTGGAGAAAAGGAAGGAAAATAAGCAACAACTCTGGTTGCAGTTAATGCAATAATTAAATGGAAGCGTATGTTTAAATTGCAGTTGGAATGGGAAATTAAATTATGCAAAGGAGTGTTAGAAATTTGGACAAGTTTTCATACTGTTAATAAATCTATGCATAATTCATTTTCTTGTAGGCTATGACAAAATAGCATAAATAACTTCATTTGTAAGGCTGTGAATTTTCTATTCTTAATTGGGTGATGGCTAAAACCATTTCAGTGCTTCTGGATGACTGAATATATAAATGTTTAAAATGAGCAGTTATAATAGGTTTCTAGGCAGATTTGTTTATTTAATATTACTACATTTATTTTCAGATCCTAGCATAGTACAGATGTTGCATAAAGATTTCGCCCAGTATGGTGTGAGTTGGATCTGATTTTTAAGGAAAGACATACCAACTCTGCTCTTGGAGAAAGCACTCTGCTACTCTTCAAGCAACTACTGCCTGACAGCCACTGTACTAGTAATTTTATAAATGTTACCATTTCCTCCTCACGATAGACCTAAAGGCAGGTACGTTAGCCGCACTCAACTGAGAAGACAACGGCCAAAGAAGGCAGGAGTTAGTTGGAGGTCCCACTGGCGGTTAGTGGCAGCGCAGTGGCTCTGAGCCACGTATTTTGGTCTCTAAAACTTGCATTCTTTCTACTTCCTGCAGCCTCACACTTTCTACACTCAAGACACTCAAGTGGGTTTAGCACCTGAGCATCCAAGAACCAGGTTGTCTTGTTAGGAGGGAGGTTCTTGCTGTAGCAATGGCCAAGCAGCAAGACCGAGTCTGAGCGCACCTGTTCTTTGGGAGCTCACAATGGTCACCATTGTGGTGGCTGTTACGTGGCTCCCCGGGAGCTGTCCTGGGGCCAGGGAAACTCATCCTTGCCTTCATGCTGAAGAGCCTCCTTTGTAGAGGCAAGGTCTTCGTTTCCAGAGGCACGTGGAGACCACAGGCAGCCACTGAATGTATGATCATGGGTGGTTGCCTTGCAGGAGCGTGATCTTGAGCTGCTCGGGTCCACGTGGCTCTGGATTTGCAATTCCAAATTTGAATTCCAATTCCCAAACAGGGAGCATGGCAGTCACTAACAGATGGGTACGTATTTGAGGATTTCTACAAGCACAGCGTATGTCTCCTTGTATGATGATACCCGCGTATTCACAGGGACCACTAGTTAAGAAGGTATTTCTAGATTAAGTGGTCAAACTGAGGGCTGTCACTTTTCCTCGTCCAGTACATTTTTCTGGAGGGAGAGGATGGTTAAGGCAATGACCTTGCTGGCTCCGTGACCTTGGGCAGGACTCATTTCTTCCTCTCTGCAATGGGCGAAAACAGTGCCTGCCTCAGGGTTGTGAGGATTGAAATGATTATATATAGAATGTCTGGTACATATTAAGTGTTCAGTACTTTTTAGCTATATTTTAATTCTCATGCTTCTGCTAGACCCTTCTCCTGGGACCAGGAAAAGTTAATGTACATATTAAAACAGAGAACGGGAATCAGCAGAATACGTCCGCTCCCGCCCCTGCCCCGTTTACCACCGGTTAATGACTGACATTGACTAGGAGTTACTTTGGGATCTCATTAGCCCATGGTAAGGGTCTAATCTTCTGCCACTCAGGGAAATGATCGTCAATCCAAGTCAACGGTTGGATCCAGCGACCACGCTTCCCCTCAGCCCCCAAAGAGGAAAGGGAAAAAAGAGGAGGTGAATTTGGAAAAACCCAAGAAAGGGAAACAAAACGTAAAGTCAAAGAACTCACCACAAATAAGTCCAAACAGTGGTAAGTTTGTCCTTGTTATTATTATATTGTTTTTATGGATTATCATCTTAAGGCTTTGATATGATTTTAATTCTTAAATAGATCTGTTTGTTTCTCTGGACCCATGGAAGATGCTCCTTATCGTTCTATAGGAGAGTTTTCAAAGAAGATTTTTGTGTAGGAAAGATTCTTCTGTTTCTCCTGCCAAAATTTCTGTTTGTAATTAGAGGTTGTGTACAAGAACACGTGCTTTGAGGTAAAATATTTCTTGGGGTGGTCTCGTATAAAAAAGGGTGAATCTTCTCATCCTTTCCCTCTATTGAAAGGGCTTGATTAACATGCTTACCAACTACTGTTGACATTGGTCTCTCCTACTTGTGTGGCTACAACCCTTGTTCACATTGATCACAGGTTACTTTTAGTCACCGATCCCTTTCTCCAAAAAGATGTTTTCCTAATTTTACCGATATCCAAGAGAATATGACACACTCAGAAAACATTACCAGTAGGACGTGTCCTCAAATTAGTTCTGTATCTTGCATCACCAGCTAAGAGATGCCATAAACTTAAGTTTTTAAACATTTTCATCAGTATGAGATTTGTGCAGTCAGGATTGTGAACTTTCGTGGGAAGACTTTTCATGGGAACTTTTGGGAAGACAGGCTCTTTTTGGTTTCATTCCAAGCGTGGTGTCAGTGGGACGAGCCTGCAGGGGTGGAGGGGTGGAGGGCTGGCCATGCCACAGCCCCGTGCAGGGACTGCTTCTCCTTCACCCTGGGATTCCCTCACACACCTGCCGGGGGACATGCTGGGCGGGAGGGGGGGAGATGAACGGGCTGTCATTGCGGATTCATGGCCAGCTCTCTATTTTCCACTTGGGAGCTTCAGCTTCTTTCAAAGTTGATGTGAAGAGTCCCATTAGAATGACAGCTACTGTGGGCCTCACAACGAAGGGGACACATGAACTCGTGGGGGTTCAGAGGATGTGGCAGGTGATGAAGGATTCGTGGGAAAGCTGCGCGAGACTAAGTGAGAGAAACAGCCCGTATGACGAGCCAGTTACAAAGAAGAGATAGAACGGAGGGGGCTTTGCATCATTTTGGTGATGGAGACCAGCTGGAGAAGGGCAGAGGGGGCTTTGTATCATTTCAGTGATGGAGACCAGCTGGGGATGGGGGGTCCTGGATTCTCCTTGCAGCTCTGCTCTAGATCTTGGGCAAGCCACTTAACTTTGGGGGGCCCCATCAGCTCTCTGCAAAATGTGGGCTCATATTAAGATTTAGCTTGAAAGTTGGTTATCGTCAAGTCTGTATAATCCCTCACAGATGACGACGAAACAGGGGAAGCCAGGGTCAAATGTGGCCAACGAATGTTGACTGAATGCATATTTTACGGCAGGCACCAAAGGAAAGAAGCTAGCCTGGAAGAATATGCCATACCTTGAGGATTTAAAATCATAGAGGCTTTATTTTAATCAGTATACCAGATTGTGAAGCCCCCAAGGCCCTGGGCTGGGTCTTCCTAGTTGTTATGTTTTTATCTGCAATAACTAGCTCGGGTCTGAAAGATACAAGACCCTTAATAAATATTGGCAAACCAGCACCGGAACATAAAACACAGCATAGACAGGTCACTGTAATGCTTTGAAACTCTTCACGAATGTTTCTCATTAAAGCCTTTTGTAAAATGTGGCTTATTTTCCATGAGGCTCATCTTAGCATGTGAAAAATCCCAGTTCCTCCTCCTAGTTTGTGTATTTTAAGGTCTTTAGTTTCAGCGGTTGCTTCTCAGGAGAAAGGGGACCTTCACCTTGTCATTCTTGTTTGCAGAAATTGCGTAGGATGAGGTTACACCCACAGTTTCCTCTTGCACTGGAAAGGAACCTTTACGGAACATCTAAATGATCAGTACTTTTGCTTTCATAGAAATTCTCAGTTTTCAGCAATGGTACCTGTGGGGACGAAAATAACAAGAAACGTGTTGAGCGTTGAGGCAAGTTATTATTATTATTATTTTTTAAAGTGCTCAGAAAAGGTGGAAGGCCATCGCTGTCCAACCCCTTGTCTTTGGAGAGCCTGGCAATTGTTTTAGATTACTGCCCACGTTCAGTGTCTATTCTCCAGTGTCGTTTTATAATGAGCGGAATGTAGGCCTCTAACTGCTGGACCTCTGGTGTCTTTTATTTTTTTGTTTTTAAAAATTTATTTATTTGTCAGAGAGAGCAAGAGCACACGCAGGGGTGAGGAGCAGAGGGAGAGGGAGAAGCAGACTCCTCACTGAGCACGGAGCCTGATTGCAGGGCTTGATCCCAGCACCCTGAGATCAACATCTGAGCCAAAGGCAGATGCTTCACCAACTGAGCCACCTAGGCGCCCCCTGCTGGTGTCTTTCAAGAGACAGTTTGGGGGAGTGGAACCCCCCCCACTCCCCCCCACCCCGACCTCAGTAAGAAACTTAGGTGATCCAGAAGCGTACATAAGAGTTGAGATGAAGCATTTTGTATCTTTTCCTCTCGATAGAAAGGACATATAACCTGGAAAATGAATCTTGGCTTCCAAAAACGATTTTTTTCCCCACGGAAAATGAAAAAAAAGATTTTGTTCACTAGATTAAATCATCACGACAAATTTAAGGATATTAGCTTAAGTCCATAGTTTTGAAAATTGAGCTATTTCCCCCTATCAGCTCTCCCTCCAGATGTCTTTGGCTATAGACATTTTCCAGATTATAGTATCAAATCTCTCTTTTTCTCGCTCCTTAATTCAGCTTCACATTAATTTATTCTCGCAGTTGTTTTTTCACCTTAATGTCCTCTATTCTAGTAATTAGAACCGAGTGTGTGCTTTTGGATAGTCATATCTCAAGAGCGCTCTTATTGTCTAGAAAAGTAAAAGCAATAGGACTGTAAGCAAAATGAAAGGAAAGGTGTGTGGTGAGTCAAGATAATGAGTAAAAAATGCAAGAATTTAATACTGTATTGTATATTTGAAAGTTGCTAAGAGAGTAGGTATTAAAAGTTCTCATCACAAGGAAAAGTTTGTTGTTGTTTTTTTTTGTAACCGTATATGGTAACAGATGTTAACTAGACTTACTGTGGTGATCGTTTTGTAATATATACAAATATCGAATAAAAAATGCAAGAATTTGATGTTAGAGATGAAACAGTTTTTTCTACTTACCAGTATTTTACATTTGGGATTAAGTGGTTGATTTAATTTTCTTTCAAAGTGTTAAATTTTATAGTTAGGATGAATATCTAGATCATTTCATAACGTATGATAAATTGTGCAAAGTTTTGGTCCAGCGTTTGTTACCTATTTATGAGAATAGGTAGTTAATGTTAATGAGAAGAAAGAGACTGTGTTGGCTCTCTTGATTTTTATTATAATGTAGGCTGTAGTCATACTTGTTGTCTTTCTTCTACTGTTGATATTTCCTGATATTTGGGTGTCTAGTGCTATAAGAATGAGCAGTGCTGATATCTCTCTGTAGATGGCAACCTGGCTCTAATTTTATTTTTTCTTTTGCTTTCCTTTTCCTTTTTTTTTTTTTTTTCTTTCCGACTCTGTTTCTTTCCGTAATAGTAAAGCTTAATAACTCAAGCAGAGCTGTGACATATTTCTTCAGGGAAACAAATCCCATTTTCTTTTGGTAGCCAAGATGCAAAGTAAGATTGGTTGGTGATTGATGAAGTTGGGTGTGAAATGCATTTTTAGAGCTGCATTTAAATACCAGCTTAACTGGCCAGCCTGTTTTCCATACACTTTCCATTTGATTTGTGGTGCCTTGCAATACGTTTTAGAGGCTGTTAACTAGCTACCCTTTCCACCACGAGCAAAGTGGTAATGATGATTGTCTTGAAATAGTATTTTGGGATTGATTGTATTCATTGATATTTTAAATATTTTCTATGTGAAAAAAAATTAGTGTCTTTAGAACCCTCGGAACCCAGGAAGTGCAGTGAATTTAGGGCTCCTTAGAAATATTGAAAAGGCTGCAGAAAAAATAGGCAGGGCTGCGTTGCTGCAGCTTATGTGGTATTGATCATTACAAACACTTTTTTTAAAGCAGAGTTTTTTTGTTTTTTTTTAACTTTTTTTTTGCCTATATTTTTATGTTTTTATTATGCTCATAAAGCAGAGTTTTAAAACGCAAGCAAAAATAAGACTTGTTTTCTTTTGAAGGATGTTTGATTCTCTTTCTGTTTGCGGGTGTGAACGTGTGCGTGAGCATGCACGTGCGCGCACATACACACACGCACACAGACCAGTATCCTACTTGATGCAGTTCCTGGCTTATTCCCAGCATCAGTTCTGTGATAGTCCCTAAGGAACTTGCCACGTTTAGATTCCTGATGAATGATGGGGAGCAGGTGCAGCATCGGGAAGGGATGTCTGAATATTATGACCTTGCGGGGTGAGTGCCCTTGAGCGGTCATGCTCTTGAATTTTCTAATAGCTACACCCTGCACACGCTTTGCTGAGTTGCCCCGGGCATGGAACATTACTGCAGTCTGTCCTCGCAGTCAGATCGCGGGACGTTGAAACTTGAGCGGCTTCAGTTCAGCCCATGAACCAGCTCAGGCACTTACATGTGTGGTTCCCCAGTCACGGGAGGCTCTGAAAGTAGAACAAGAAGCACGTTTCCAAATGGGATCCCCCAGGCCTCACCCTCTGAGGGGGATCAGGTACGGGAAGAAAGTCTATCAGAAGGCACCAGAATGAGTTCACAAAACAGGGCACTGGTTTTATTTAAGACGTCGCGCTAAGATTTAGAATTCGTTGGTGTCTGGTGCCGCCCCCTCATCTTTGGGCGGAGAAATGCAGGCTTCTCATTCCTGGTCGACCGTGACTTAGCTCAGAAGCAGTGTGGACTGTGGGATATAGGTCACGTTTTACTACATCAAGTCCCAGGATGATAAAAATTTGTAAAGCAAGCATCCCCCCATACCTCAGGGACCCTTGTTGGAATGACCTGTTGTCCGATGGGATTCTAGTACATAAAGGATTTTAGTATTTCTT